ATTGTAAATGTTTATAAAATTGTGATATTCTAGTCAAAAAATAAATACATTCATCGATTTTCACGCTTAAGTATATTAGTATTGGGAATCGGGCAGATAACTGCTAATTAAAGTCATGTCCTTATCGAAAATAAATTCGTCTATAATTTATTGCTACGAATGCTAAAATGAACCAAGACACTTGATTTCTAGATTATTTCCCTTAATTTTTATTATTATATTCAGTTTGAGATAGCTTCATTTCTAGGTCAGTTATCCTTTTAACTGGACTAAAATAGCTTAAGGATAAGCATCATTACAACTCTTTTGATTGCATTGCAATGACAGTTGAAGCGTACTTAACTAAGGCAAAATGTGTACTGACTACTATTGACCAACACACATTATATTTGAATTAATAGCCGTTTGAAATTTCCCCTCATAAAACTTTGTTTCTTTAATTAAACGATTATTATGATAACATTAAAGGAAACAAGATGATATCAGACTTCAATCGCTTTGTCTTAACTGTGTCATTTAAGGACATGACGTAGGAATACAAATTCATTACTGATGGCTTCATTAATTCTACTAAAGTTCAGGTGTTTCATTTTTCTTATTAGTGTTAAATCAAGTAGTATAAAGTTCGACTTGATATATGGGTTTATAGTAGATTACTGCACTTTAGAATTCATGCTTTCGAATCCAGCTGGTCTGATTTATATTCATATATTACTGAAACTGGACACACAGGATTCCCCATTTTGATCAAAACGACTCGCGTACTACTAACGCTAGGAGAATTGTAATTTAGTTAATCAGTTCTAATAAGTGACACCACTGGCATATGAAAACTGAACATAATTTTAAGCTTGACCAACATAAGCTTAGATATTATTACGAACAGTATCTAGGAGCAAGTTGTTTTCAACTTGATTTGTAATCAACCCTTTATTCATCCAAACAGGTATAATATTTCTCTAATAATGAATAATGTATTATGTGGTATGAAAAAGGTTTGTGTACTATATACCTTAAAACTCTCACAGGATTTGTTAAGTTCTCTTCTAGTAGGTGACAGGGTTGATGTATCCAAGTTATTTAGACCAGAATATGTGATCTACTTTACACCATAAAGTCAATGGCACGGCGGCAGAATGCTTGCCAACCACGAAGGTGGTCCGGGGTTCGATTCCCGCCCGTCGCACTCCTTTACCTTGCTAAGCTAGTAATAAGGCTGATAAAGAGTGAAGGTTTGGCAAGAGGCTGGCAACCTGATCCCGTAAAAACAAACACCACTGCTGCTGAAACTTCAGACCTCTAGCTTGAAGCTCTATCTTCCACTGACAAGGTCAAGGAATAAAAGAAATACCATAAAGGGTAATCAAGAAAGTAAACATAGTGACATAAAAGCATATACAACCAAGTGATCTAGATGAGTAGTTGCTTACCACTCATATTAACCAGCAGTATTAGTGTGCGTCGGTGGCACAGAGGTTGGGGCTCTCGCTTACCATGCACATGGTCTGGGGTTCGATCCTCTGCCGATGCGCACCTGATATCATTTGGTCGGCCTGCAAAATTTGGGCTACCGATATCACATGCTCAAAATTCCATGCTCGTGCCAAAAATACGATATGGAATCAAGTTGATATCAAAACAATATCAACTCATTCTAGCGAGCAAGCACTACTGGCCGACATGAGTGCTATGCAACTGCTCATCTCAGGCAATCAATGGTATGTACTTTCAAGTTAGAATTAGCCATTAAGTTTCCAGTTTTTCTATGATCTGATGTTAAATAGCATTACAGCAGTGTTCGCTCATCGTTAACAGATAAATCAGTTATTTATAAGAAAAGATATATATTGATTGCAGCTTAACCCCCACACCGTACTTTTGGTAGAAGTATGGAGTTTTCAGCGTGGATATCGGTAGCCCAAATTTCGCAGGCCGACCATAGATATCAAGTGTGCGTCGGCGAGGGCTCGAACCCCGGACCATGTGCATGGTCAGCGAGAGTCCTAACCACTGTGCCACCGACGCACTATAGATAGGTCTATTCAACCCTGTAAAGGATAGATTGTAATTTGTCGGTAGTGAGTTTTATGTTGAAAAGAAACTGTATTACCATTTTCTCCCTTAGAGAGTGGTATATCTACTGCGAAAGAGAGAGAGAGAAATAAGTCATCCGAGTCAATGTTCATTGCGTGTTGAAAATTGAACAAATAACAATACCGGACTAATGTATATATATTTCTACTTCTAAATAGTGGTTAGCTGTGTAATGAATTAGACAAAATAGTAAAATCACGCTATTTACTTTTTTTGGTATGCTTTCTTTTCATGAATGTATTCAGCTAACCATCTGCTTTTGTAGCTTCACAAGAATGCTACTATCATAAGGAAATAAGGATTTATCCACTTACTTTGTTTACATAGTTTTCACAAAAACACATTAAGCGTTAAAAGAAATGTTTATCCTTTAGTATTTCTATAAAAATGCCCAATTTTTTCAATATTATTTGCAGACTTCATATAAAAAAAGGCTAAGAACCAAAAATACTAAAAGCACATAAGGAAAATGGGAAGAATGAGGTATTTTTCTTCTTGCAGTAAACAACTAAATGTGCTATATTTGCCTATTCCTCACAGAAATTACTCAAAGTTCAAAGCGTGCTTCATTATGGCTACTATTTTTTTCCCTGAATATGAAATTTATGTTGATTAATAACCAGTCTAGTCCTGAGTGATACACATTGGTTACGCCGAAGATCGATTGTAAGGTCGAATAATTTATTGGTAGTGTCTCTGACAGCAGGACTGTGTGAGGTCATTTTGAATCTCAGAGTGAACATTGCCTCCTTCGACGGTGTAGATATGCCTTGCTGATGACTACCAATAATCAAGGCAGCTAGATTCACGGCTTCTTCACGTTCACCTTCAATTATCTTGTAATACAATATTTAGACACCTTTCTGTACATGCTACAAGAAAGAATATAGAAAAAACACAGAAAAACACTGGACTGAACATTTTTTGTTTAACCGTCTTTTCAACATGACTGAAATTTTACATCTTATGCTAGTCTACCAACACAGTCTGCCTTGTTGGGCACCTGATCTCATTATGGTCAAAACATGCCTAATTAACCTTAATAAACTGAAATTGAACAAAAAATAAGGAGGTAGAAATGTGAAGAAATTCTTGCATATAATTTACAAAACACATATGTTTAGCTTGAACCATTCTAACCAGCTGTTAATTATTACAGAAAAATTAAATTTGTGAAACAGCTGTTTGCTTACTGTTTCACATTTATCAGTCCCGTGTGAATTTAATTAGTCTGCCATTTACTGATTTAATGAAATGTAAAGCGTTACCTGAGCCATTTAATTCGAGTGGAACACGAATGGGGAACGATGAGCTGGGCATTGATCTTACGGTGACATGGAGGAGATCGTGTGGGGAGAAGATGGGAGACTATAGATAATCATGATGCCAGCTGTGGAGGACAGCAGAAAAAAGGAAAGGGTGGAGCTGTGCTTTGGAGGCCCTCTGTTCCACTCGGAACCCAAGGTAATAATAATGATAAAAATAATATGTTGGAAAAGCATCTAAATTTCATCGTTTTATTGATATTCTCTTGGAGTAGTTTGTGAGACTAAAGGACACTCAGTTAATAACTGCCCCGCAATAAAGCTTGATAGCCTAGCATTACGCGAGATTTTTGTAGTGAAATGGTGACCATGTGAGTCGCTAGATTTCGTAGCTCCTATGAACCACTAATCCCTAAGCCCAGTGGTTAGGAAAATCACTACCCATTGAATCAATAATAGAAAATCTTCCATATAAATTTGAAAAAACTGGCTAATGCCAGTAGTGTGCTAAGGCACTATGGATACCCAGTGTATGATGTATAACTTCATCAATTTCACCTCTTTTAAAACATATAATACATATACTTGAAATTTGCATAGAAAAACTTCACAATAGTCTTGATAACACTCATATACGACGATTGCTGAAGATGATATTAAGTCAGATACAACCACTATTTGAATTCATTCTGTTTTCACAGTAACCTGAAGTGTAGTTTTAATTTGTCAATGTTTGGTGAAGTAATACTTTTTTGAGTCAAGATGATATGATTACATAAATAAATAAATATTGCACTCGAAATGTCTTCAATTATCTATCTAATGCTATATCACCTTATGTAGTATCAAATAGATAGAAAGTGATCTATACCGTAGTAGACATCCTCAGTCAGTTCCTGCTGATGGCCAGAAAGGATTGCCAATGGAGATCTTTAACAATGCAACAAACCAAATAAAAACCTATCGTCCAAGATATATGGAGGTAGGCTGGATAAACGCAGAGAAGGCTGCTGGGTAACATCGCGCGACAGGCTGACCATCGAGCGGAACCCGACTAGGAAAGAATGAATTGGGCGTCTAATGGTCACATGGAGGCGTTCGTATGAGGAAGAAATAAAAGATTATGAGCAATCTTGGAACCAGCAGCTAAAAAGAACTGCAGAGAACAGTACGAAATGCAGATGTGCTGCTGAAGCCCTATGCTCCACTCGGAACCCAAGGGAATAGTAATAACAGTGTTACAAAGAAATTCTGCCTGTAAATGCTCTCAGTCAAGAAAAAGGAAAACCAGTAATACGATGCGATGTAATTTAGGGGAAATCTATCTGATATCTGATTGCCTTTAAACCTAGAATTTAATGACAAACAGTCTGCTTGTGTGTAAGACTGTTGTTTTTAAAATTAATCATAAACACAATATGTAAATTACACGTCAACTTTTGAAAATTTTACTACTTAACTTTTGCCTGGATTATATAAAAATAAAAAATAAATATACTAGCCATTATATCACGATATAGCTTCAATCATTATCCTGAAAATGAAAGTGTGAAGTTTTTCAAGAAAATTTAAGTTTTAATTCGTATTCATAAACAAAAGAATGTAGAATAAATTAACAATGCTTGCATTTCTTTTTAACAGATAAAAAGGTTAAATGCTATCGGTGTGCAGATTGTCCAAATCCATTTGACAAAGAATTAGTCACTGAACTGGCCAATTGCAATTATTGTCGAGTAAGTCATTATAATTATTATAATCATTATTACTTATCCATTCCTTACTCTCTGAGTGGTGCATATCGTCTCCATTTTACAGTTCTCTACCATTAAAATTCAACTGACATCATTACTACCTACACGCTTTTATTTTTACCTCAAGTGATCTTCATTTCACAATTCATTCGTATTTCAGCCGATAGCCTACCTGACATTTGATGCCACTTCAAGGTCTACCCAGTGTGTGCTCAGTCTACGTAATAAGTCGCTGACTGGTTCGTTTCCTACAGTTTTTCTCTTGTTAGGTATCCCTCATAAAAGATATTTTGCTTTTTATTCTTTCACGCTGTATCTCGAGTAGAAGTAAGAAGTAGGAGGTTGAAACCGATCTTTTTCCTAAAATATTTATTCCTTTCTGATGGCCAATGAAAAAACCAAGAGATATTATTGAATTGAATTTTTGATTTTCCCGTCGATTGATTGGACCGAAGTGCTCGGTCTCAGGTTGACATGTCGGCTTCTTGTGCAGATGCTTCGACGATGTTTGGGGATTTGATTTGTATACAATTGGTGGATGGCGGCTAGCAGTGGAATCCAGGATGCGCATTTCGTCCTATTTGGGACTCGTCAGCTGGATGTACCTGTATTTCTCAGTGAGTGATGATGATGTTCCCACCGAGGCTCGAACCCAGTGCCCATAGTTTCAAATGCCAAAGCCTTATCCACTAGACCATTTGGGCCACGAGAGCCACCTCTTGTGCGACGGGTCATATTAATTATTGAATTGAATTTTTGATTTTCCCGTCGATTGATTGCACCGAAGTGCTCGGTCTCATGTCAACCATATCGACATGTCAACCTGATACAGTCTTTACACAAACAGTTCAAGTTTTAAAAAAATAAATAAATGTATGCACATAATGGTAAAGGGTTTACGTATTAAAGATAAGATGTGCGTTAGATGCATAGTGACTAATTAGTCAGGTGACAATATACTGAGTTGGACTCAAATCTTAGAAACAAGAGGCAAACAAAATTACAGATTATAGAAGGAGAGTGAGTTTAAAGACAAAGATTACGTATTCACATGAGAGAAGAAAGACATTCAGTTACCAGGGCAAGGAAAGACTAATAACTGCTTCTTTCTGAACACATAAATCTTGTTTCAAGCTTCGGCAAACTTGAGGAGAATAGAGCTCTTTTGTCTATTGATAATTTTAAAGGATTTCTGGATTTCCACCTCATGACCCGTGTCGAGGACATGTCTGGTAATAGCGCTACTATAAGAGTTTGTTCCCTTGAGACGTAGGCTTTTCGGCACATGTTTAGAAAATCGGAGGTGTGCCCTTCTTCCATTCAGTAAATGTCTGTATACCTTTTAAAGTTAAAACTCTGTACTCTTCTACAGTGAAATAATAAGTATTCCTAATAAAATCAAAATAATCACGAAAATTAGGTATTCTGTTATTGTTTTAGTGAACGAAGTATGCTGTACACACCTCGAAATCTCACCTTAATTTAATGGAATTCATTTATTTAGTTTAGGTTTTGTGAAATGGTATGAACTACTGAGAATGTCACCTGTTCCTTTGCTCTAGCTAATTAGCAGCATCTATTTGTCGAGTCTGAAAATCTGTGAACTACATTCTTCATGAAAATGAAAGAACTGCTCATCACTCCTTGTTTTTCAACAATTTTCCAACTCAAATTCACTTCGGACTAAAAACAAAGAGTCTTAGAAGCCATTAGTGCTTTAGTGGCTCAACAGCAGAACGTCCGCCAACCACACATATGGTCCGGGGTTCGATCCCTGGCCGATGGACTCCTGGACCTCACTAAGCTAGCATTAAGGCTGGTAAAGAGGGAAGGTTGGATATGAGGTTAGCGAACCCACTCTGTAAAAATGAAACTACTGCTACCAAGTACATACGAACTGTAATCAAGATTTGATCCGATAATTCCAAAATAATTGAGCGCTGAGTGAGAAGTAGACATTTATAAAGTTATATTTGTAAAATCTCAGCGAAATTGAAATGATTAATTCCAACGTTTCGTTCGGCAATCTGGTCCGAACTTCTTCAGGGAAATTAATCGAAATTAACATAACAAAGTTTATATATAAAGGGACACATCTTGTTTTTAAAATTCTTGTCCAATCATGAATCATGCAACAGGTATCAACATGTATCATAAATAAATAAATAGAATTGTATGTTTATACAAAAGTACAATAGTACAATCAATAGGTATGCTAAACAAAACAAAACAAAAATTGTATGAACTATGATCAAAACACTTTTGACCTCAGGCTTTCAAAATTTGTCTACTTTTGTTAAAATATATGTGTGTATGCAGTATATGCAGGATACAATGGTGTGTGTGTGTGTGTGTGTGGTGGGTGGGTGGAACAGTCATAAAACATTTGCTATTCTCATATGAGCTGTGATCAAGATTTGACCGGATAGTTACAAATAATTGACATTTTTATAAATATAATTTAATTTTTATAGCTTTGTTATTCTCTCCATAAGAAGACGTAGACAGTCGGGAATTTGACTAAGTGTGACTACTTGATCATACATATCAAATTTTACTTTGTTTATTAGTCAGGATTTGCCATGCATCGGCTAACATCACACCTTCACGTCTGTTTAAACTGTTGGGATTCACCCATATATGTAGGGCTTCTGCAGTTAATCTTTCTTGATATGAACCAAAACCTTTTTGTAAAACCTTAGTCTTATCAAAGTCGATTTTGTGTCCCGTTTCTATTGAATGTAGCGCAATCGCTGAGTTGTTTTCTAGCTTCTTCAAGTCTGCAGAGCTCTTTGGAACCACCTTTAGACATTGTTTATGCTCTTTCATTCTTATATTTACCTGTCTAGAAGTTTCTCCTACATATACTGCGTTACAATCCCCACAATTGATCTGGTATACGCAATTCTGCTGGTTTTCTTGTTCTATTTTATCCTTAACCTTCACCAGCAATGAACGTAAGGTGTTAGATGCACGAAAGTACACTCTTATGTTATGTTCGTTAAGGATTCGCTTTATTTCATCGGACGTTTCTTTGCGGTAAGGAACCACCGCTGTACTAACCCAATTCTTAGCAGCAGGTTTTGATTCATCCTTATCTTCACATTTTAAGTATCTTTTTATGAAGGCTTTAGGATAATTATTTGACTCAAGAGTGGATTGAACTAATTTTAGTTCCTCGTTAATATCTTCCTCCTCAGTAACTAGACGTTTGGCTCTGTTGATCAGATTCTTGGCCACAGTTACTTTGGTGGTAAATGGGTGAGCTGAATGGTAATCTAGGTATCTATCCGAATTTGTCGGCTTTCTGAAAATGTTTATTTTAAATTTTCCGTCTAATTTTCTTTTTACTAAACAGTCCAGAAACGCCAACTCATTTTCATCGGATTCAACCTCTTTGGAGAACTTGATGGTTTCTGACATATTGTTTATTAACTGAAAAAGTTCATTTAACAAACTACGTTTGATTATGATGAAGGTATCATCTACGTATCTTAACCACATCTTTGGGGGACTAAGGCATCTCATAATTGCATTTGTTTCTAATGAGTGCATAAACAGATTGGCGACTAGCGGAGATACTGGTGATCCCATAGCAATGCCTCCTATTTGACGATAAAGAACCCCTCTGAACGTAAATAACGTGGATTTAAGACACAGTTCTAATACCTTCATAATTTCGTCGGGATTTAAAGGACAACGATCACTGAGTTCGTCGTCAGCACAAAGTAAATTATAAATAATACTTAAAGAATCATTAACGGGTACATTCGTGAATAATGAATAAACATCGAAACTTGCCATTATTTCATCTTCTTCAATATTAGTCAAATTTATTTTCCTCTTAAATTCATACGAATTTTTCACTCCATGCTCCACTTTCATTTCATATGGGCTAAGAATTCGATAAATGTATTTTGAGAGTTTGTATGTTGGAGAGTTAGTAAAATCCACTACTGGACGTAATGGTACTTCTGGTTTGTGTATTTTTGGTAACCCATAAAATCTACAGGGGCTGCAACTTTTTGGAGCCAGAGTAAACCAAAGTGATACACCGAGCTTTTCTTTTATTGACTGTAGCATTTTGCTTGTTTCAGCCTTCAGCTTATTTAATGTCGCTCTTGATTTATTCGCGTTGAATTTTTCATAAGGTCCATCATTAAGATGATCAATGGCCTTCTTTTCGTAATCTGCAGAGTTCATGACAACTGTGATATTGCCTTTATCTGCTCTTGTAATTACAATTGACTTATCTTGCTGTAGTTGTCTTAATGCCATTTGCTCCTTTTTATTTATATTCGGCGCATTTGGCTTCTGGTTCAGTAGTACTGCTGCAATTTTGTGTCTAATGACGTTTGCCTCTTCGGCTGTCACTGACTTTAACGATGGTTCAATTGCTGGGACTACTTCAAAGGCTGATAAACGCCTTTTGTTTAAATTGAAATTAAGTCCCTTTTTAAGGAGGGATAGTCAATCTCTCTGACAGAAATTTATCAGATGATGAACTATCCCTCCTTAAAAAGGGACTTAATTTCAATTTAAACAAAAGGCGTTTATCAGCCTTTGAAGTAGTCCCAGCAATTGAACCATCGTTAAAGTCAGTGACAGCCGAAAAGGCAAACGTCATTAGACACAAAATTGCAGCAGTACTACTGAACCAGAAGCCAAATGCGCCGAATATAAATAAAAAGGAGCAAATGGCATTAAGACAACTACAGCAAGATAAGTCAATTGTAATTACAAGAGCAGATAAAGGCAATATCACAGTTGTCATGAACTCTGCAGATTACGAAAAGAAGGCCATTGATCATCTTAATGATGGACCTTATGAAAAATTCAACGCGAATAAATCAAGAGCGACATTAAATAAGCTGAAGGCTGAAACAAGCAAAATGCTACAGTCAATAAAAGAAAAGCTCGGTGTATCACTTTGGTTTACTCTGGCTCCAAAAAGTTGCAGCCCCTGTAGATTTTATGGGTTA